TTCCCACATGCCAATGTACTGTTTACAACATGGATATAGCGAAAAGTAAATACTACAACATTAGTCTCATGTTTAACATGACAGAGCAACTACTACCACTTGGTGGAGAGCTTTTCCCCCCATGGTATTCATAAGCCAAGTATTTAGGAATTGCTTGGTAAAAGATGGCCTTATATGTCCAATGTAAAATGACCAAAATTGTGGGATGTTCACAGATATGACTCAATACCAGCAAATGTAGCTGCCATTAAACCTGTGGGCTTCTGGGGGAAAAAGCACTAGAGGGCACCTATCCTAATATTATATATCAGCCAAGTTCGGTAAATACCCAAGACATGCAATTTAATTTGTAATTATTTGCAGAGCAAACATTAAGAGGAACAGATCATAAGTGAACATCGATTTGAATTTTTCGTTGATCGTGCATCCAAGGCCCAAGCCCTACGGTGTTGATCAGCTGCCAACATAGTAAGGAAGGCAATGTTTTTGTTTGAATATAAGAAAAGCTTTGCTTAAGCAAATACATTTTCACAGAGCACAAGTCAAAATGACATTTACTTTGATCAAATTGTGGTCTTCAAGCTAGATCTACTGCAATCATTCAACAGTGTGCCAGACTGAAAAGGTCAAAGTCTGCAGTTCACTCTGTACCTCAATCAATCTGCTCATTGGTCTCTTTCTAACTCACAACATAACATCCAGGTCACGTCTTCAACACAATAAAAAAGAAAGGCAAAGAAGTGATGGTCATCTGAGCACCATGAATACAGGACAGGGATTCTGTGAGACAGGCATTCAAGTACGACCAGCCAAAACTAAATCTGTAGGACTTGTACAACATAGTGAAAACAAAGCTTTATTCTTTCAAGAGGAATAAGTCAAGCAGCCAACTAGCTGTGCATTTCTTACCCTGACTGAGAGGCCATGGCCCCGACCACTGAAACATTGGAAGGAGGAGGGAGGAGGAGGATTCAAAGGATCTCCCAGGGATTCAGAAGTATTCTCGTTATGACTTTGTCAGCCTAAATTTCAACGGCAACTTCCTCCGGTGAAGACACCCTGGCCCTCTTTTCTTTCAAAATCTGGCTGTGGCCGTCCAGCTGGAAGAGTGTAACTACAGTTTCTTTACTCGAAGGCACAGCTCATTTCCTTGGAGTGGTGACAAATCTGACTTAGGGAGGGGAGGCGACTGCTCGTTCTCGGTAGATACCACATCCACAAACAGCGGGGGTGGTCAAATGCTAAATGAAGTGTAAGGGGAGCAGTTGCTTTTGTTTGTTTGTTTGTTTGTGTTGTGGTGTGGTTTTGAGATTTAAATGAGTTTGAATAACAAGATGGGGTGTGGGTGAGTGTGTAAATGTTCATGGTAAAATCAGGGCATAATGTTATGGAAGCACAATGCACAGCAACACAGATTTATAAATACTCCTGAAACAGTGTAATACATATCTATGAACTGATTACACCTTCAAGTTTAAATTAAAGTAGAGAAAGAGCAAGAAAAGAGAGTAAAGTCTTTTGGCAGATTATCACACCTTAAAAACTTTTAAAAAAGAAAAGAAAATCAAGAGCAGTAAAACAAAAAGGGGATAAAATAAGGTTTCATTTAAAGAGGATTAACAAATTAAATGAGCTGGGTTTGAAAACAGCCATACAGCTGGATTAATTTGCAAATCAGCATCACAGCCTGTAAGGAAATTAACATCTACAGGGAGCAAGACAGTATTAAGTGAGCAGTAAGGGGAACACAGTTTCACCTCTCTTTGAGAATGGAACGATCCAGCTTGTCCCATAAAAGGAGATGTTATTTTACACCACAGGGCCTCTCCTCCGTGTGATGTCACTGCCCTCAGTAAGACCCAGCCAATCAGGGCTCATCTTTCCATCAACAACCTCCCTCCCCCTCCCTCCCCCACTATGCTCAGAGCACAGGGCAGAGCACCATGCAGCCTGTTAAAGAGACAGCGCTCAGTTTCTAGCATGCAGGTTGTTACAAACGAGAAATGTTTTCACCAGCTATTCATCATGACGACAAATGTTCTAGCATCACAATAATTGTATATATCGGGTACTAAGATTTGCAACAACATGCCATTACCTTTTTTCCGACTTATTATAGCTTGCATTTATGTTTTTGACAAAGCATCAGTTTATTTTTAAGTTTCCACT